GAACCCAGTGACTTTCAAACCCCAAAGTGCATTACAGCAAAGACTGGTTCATCCCAAAGATCCAGTCCCTCAGCACTAACAGAGTAATATTGTGTATGTTGTTCAGTGCCAGGAGGGTGAGCAGACTTACATTGGGGAAACTAACCAGCCACTGGCCAAAAGGACCAAACGATAGGACCTGAAAGATGGTGAACTATGCCTGGACAGAGCGAAGCCAGAAGAAACTCTGGTGGAGGTCCACAGCAGTCCTGACGTGCAAATCGGTCACCCGACCTGGGTGTGGGGGTGAAAGACTGATCAAACCATCTAGTATGGTTCATCAACATCTAGTGAAGTTCCTGTTTTTAGTATTCTACATCGTTTCACAATGTAGCTACTTTTGTTTCATTTTGATTTTGTTTCTTCCATTTACTTTTTATTTCATATGCTTTTATATACTTGTCTCTTTTTGTCTGCACCTCATCTTGTTCTTTGTTTAAATCAGGTCTCTCTTCTAAACGAGTCCTCGAGGCTCATTGAGACTAACCTGTAGAAATGAAGGTTGAATGAATGAATAGTAGCTGGTTCTCTTCGACATTTCCCTCAGGACAGCTGGCACTCAGAGCCTCGCAGTTTCATCTGGTAAAGTGAATGACTAGACGTCTTGGGGCCGAAACAATCTCAACCTATTCTCAAATTTTAAATGGGTATGAAGCCCGGCTCACTGGCCAAAGCTTGGTGTGGAACACGAGCTGCCATGTGGGCCATTTTTGGTAAGCAGAACTGATGCTGCATGTGGCCCAGCACAGAAGATCCTTCATTCATTCATTCAACCTTTATTTAGACAGGTTAATCCCATTGAGCCTCAGAGACTCATTTGCAAGAGAGACCTGATTTCTTTACAAACAGTGATGACAAAAGAGACAACGACAGTCATAAAATAGGTATACAAATTTAAGTTTCTCTTTTTTAAATTTTTTTACAAATCAAAACAAAATAGCAACCAAAAGGACAATCAAGAGGAATAGGAGCAAAAAAACAACTAGATTATAAGGCAATTTAGAAAACTAAAAACAGGAACATGTCTGCATTGGTTCTTCCAGGAACTTATCAGATGTTTGAAGCCACTTAGAGAGGTCAAAGGTCGAGAGCTTCAGATCTTTTTACAAGATATTCCAGGAAACAGGAGCGGAGTAGGAGAAGGTCCTTTTGTCTAGTTCAGTCCTCACTGAGGGAACACTGCAGGTAATGATGTCCTGAGAGCGCACGCTGTAGCTGCACTCACACAGAGACATGTAGGAGGAGATGTATGAAGGCAGCAGACCAGGAAGTGATTTAAAGATGAACATGTACCAGTGTGAGAGTCTGTGTGAAGTTAATGGTGACCAGTTAACCAGTGAATACTGGGTGCAGTGGTGGGTACGATAATCACAGCCAGTTATGAATCTTAGTGCACCATGATAGACAGCATCCAACATCTGCAGCATCCAACATCTGCAGCATCCAACATCTGCAGGGTTCTTGTAGGAGCGTTCATGTAAATAATGTCACCGTAATCAATGGAGGGAAGGAAAGTCACAGATACAAGGCGTTTCCAAACATTCAGGGTTAGACAGGATCTGTTTCTGACAAAAAAAAACCAGTTTAACTTCCAGTTTCTTTACTATGTTTTCCATGTGGAGCTTAAAAGAGAGATGTGAGTCGACCAAGATACACAAATATTTATAGGAATCAACAAACTCAATGGGGACACCATTTGAGGATAAAATCAGAGGAAGAAATGATGGGACAGACTTCCTGTTTGAAAAAAAAGCATCCCTTTGGTTTTGTTGGCATTTAGGACAAGTATGAGATGGAACAAATCTGACTGGATGATGTTGAATGTGGATTGCAAAAGCTGGAAAGCCTTAGCAACTGTTTTAGCTCAACAATAAACAACTGTGTCATCAGCATAGAAATGTATGGATGCATTAGGAATGCTCTGACCTACATTACCTATGTAGATTGTAAAAAGGGTGGGTCCTAAGACTGAGCCTTGTGGTACACCAATACTGACTATTAGATAACTGGAGGATATACCATTATGTTGAACACATTGCCTCCGGTCTGAGAGATAATTAAAGAACCAACCCATGGTGTGTTCTGTGAAACCGATTTCTGAGATCTTATGACACAAGATGTTATGATCCACAGAGTCAAAATCTTTAGACAGGTCTAAGAAAAGTGCAGCACAATAATCCTTAGCATCCAGTGCTTAAACAATGTCATTAAGAACCTTCAGTGAAGCAGTGGATGTGCTGTGTTGTTTCCTGAAACCAGATTGAAGGAGAGGTAAGATGTTCCAGGTAATTTTTGATTTGAGAGTTTATCAGTTTTTCTGGAACCTTGTCTAAAATGCAGAGTTTAGAGATTGGTCCATAGTTGTTCAGTGAGGTGGGGTCACCTCCTTTCAGCAAAGGATGAACAAAGGCTGTTTTCCAAGCATCTGGAATGGAGTTTTGGCTTATGAGATATGAGATATGAGCAGCCAGCCTTAAGAAATAAGGTGGAAGTTCATCTGGTCCTGCAGATTTTTTAGGGCCTAGACTTTTTAAGTTTATTAACTTCACTAACTGAGAACGGGGAAAGAGAAAAGGTGTGATTTACTGAAGATCGATTTGTAGGAGGGATTTGATTTGTAGAAGTTTGGTTATTAAGTGAAGTGGCTGATCTTCCATTAGTAACTGTGTCAAATAAAGAACTAGAAGCAACAAAATGTTTGTTGAGACAGTTCAGGATCTCGTGCTGATTTGACACAGGAACAGAGTTAATGAGAAGTTGTGATGGGAGGTCAGATGATTGGGGGGTGCCTGAGAGAGATTTGATGGTTTTCCAGAATCTTTTAGGGTCATTTAGATTTTTGGAGGTCTGAGATGAGAAATAGTTGTGTTTTGCAGCTTTGACAGCAGTTGTGCATTTATTCCTCATCTGTTGAAAACTCAACCAATCAGTGTCTGAGTCAGATTTGCTCGCTGTGGCCCAAAGATGATCTCTCCTGTGTAGGAGGTCAGCTAGCTCTGGAGTAAACCAGGGGCTGTCTCGTCCTTTTATTCTGAACTGACGAAAAGGAGCATGTTTGTTCACAAAATAAATGAAACTATTATGAAAATAGTTCCAAGCGGTGTTCACATTGTCAGTTAATAGAATATGATGCAAGTCAAAGTGGAATAGATCCCAGAAGAATGACTGTTCACAAAAACATTTCAAATCCCTTTTTTAAATTAATCTGGGATTAGGGTGTGAAAGTTTAGGGTCTCTGAGAGCTGCTATTACACAATGATCACTTAAAATATCAGCAAAAACACCTATACCAGGGAATTTGTGAGAAATAGTTGTTAGAAATAGGTCTAAGATGGAAGATTTTTCAGGACATTTATTGTTCTGTCTGGTGGGAGAATCAATGAGTTGGGTCAGATTCGGTGACAGACAACATTCCTTGAATTTATCACAGAGGGGAGTTGACTTTTCCCAGTTGAAATTAAAATCTCCGGCAAGTAAAACTCTTTGAATTTTAGATTAGTTATGAAGTCTATCAGGGAGGACAGAGCCTAAGGTGCTGCTGAGGGGGGACGATAACAACCCACTACAGATAAGATTTGGTCTCCAATCAAAGTGATGTTTACAACTAAGGCCTCAAATTGGTTTGGGATTGTTTTGGCTGACACAAGACTAGAATCCAGGGTATCGCTGATGTAAATTACGACCCCCCCCCCTTTTTTTTTGTTTTGACAATCACAGCAATAAATATTAAATCCATCGATTGCCAGGTCATTATTCGAGACAGATTTGTTTAGCCAAGATTCAGAAATGAAGATTATGTCAGCCCCAGAAGAACGGACCAAAATTTTCAAAGTATCAAGTTTTCTCAAACGACTACGTTATTTACATGCAAAAAATGAAGTCCTGACATGTTTTTTAAATCATTTGATGTGCTGTAATGAGTTGGGGGGGATGGTTCCATCATCATTTTAAAAAGGCTCAACATTATTTTATTGAAAAACCTACCCTTGAAAAATATCCTAGAAACAATACAAACTTGTTTTAACTGGTCATGAGGCAGTGGTCGGAAATATAAATGAAGTTCAGACAATTGTTACAACAAACAAAAATATTTGATACAATCTGTTTCTCATGCAAGTATCGGCCAATTTCCAAAAATTAAGAAAATCGAGGCTGGTACACCCCTAGAGAGCATCCTGGGAACATGGAACATAACAAAGGAAGCTGTGTACTAAAGCTGTGGCATTGTCACATTACTTTCAAACATTAACATAAAAAACCACATCCTATTGAAAACAGCCACATTTTATTGAAAACAGCCACATTCTATTGAAAACAGCCACATTCTATTGAA